GAGCCATGTGGCTCTGTCCCATACCCCACCCTGGCAGGGAAGCACCTGCCCTTGCCCCCCTCCTCCCTCACTATGGGGGCCTTGATGTGCACCCCCCAACATCCCTTCTCTCCTCCCGCTCCTTACCCACCCAACAGACTTATCAGCCGGATATCCGGCAAGCTGCCAGGCTGCATATCAGTAATCGGACTGGTATTGGCCAATATGGTTTGTTAATAATTGGCCATTGATATCAGCCCCAAAAATCTTTATTGGTGCACCCCTAGTGAAAATACAATTTATGTAACTGCTACTGTAGTAACAATTTCCCCATTAAAATTTAGGGCCATTTAAAAATGGTGTTTCAATTATTTAATAAAATACTGTGCTCAATCTGCAGAAAATGTGATATGCTTCTTTTTTAAAAACTGAATAAGGTATATAGTTTTGAAACTGAATTACTCCCCTTGATATGTAAGGTAGATCACTTAGCTACATTTCCAATGGACACGGGCTCATAAAACACGCAAACTATATTAAAGATGATGTCAAATCACATCATGCACATTCTAAAATAGATGATATTTTGAACAGGACTTCAGCCTCAAAAAGGCAGTGTCTTTTCAGACACTGCTATTACCTGCAATGTGTACATGCAGCACACATACAATGTACTCTACAGAACAGAATTCTAGAAAGCCCTAGACTATCCTGAGACACCAAAATCTTCACAAGCATGACGCATCATTTTTAGATGATGCCATATGTGCCGCTATGCAATTCAAAAAAGCTGATCTTATAGACAGGTATATTGCTATTATTATAAACTACAGAGTTCATATTAATCTCAACAATAAAATAATGAAGGACAACGGTTACGCCACTGGCAGACATTAATTTTACGGTGCAATGGGATCTGATCCCTGATCCCAACAACCTCAGTTCCAGCCATGCCATACAAGCATGGCAGGACATGACATTTCTGGTATCAGGGGTAAAAATTTATCAGATCCCAATTGTGCAACTGCTTGCTCAGGAAGGTACACACTTAAAACCAGTTCTCAATGCTGTGCTTACTGAAGCATGCATAGAGCCTAGGAACATGATCCTGAGCTCCACACACCCTAGCAAGTTTAAATCCATGTGCAGGGCAGCTCACTTATGAGGACACGCTGGAAGAGCGAGGGTTATTTAGTCTGGAGAAGAGAAGACTGAAAGAGGATTTGATAACAGTCTTCAAATATCTAAAGGGAAATTATAAAGAGACCAGCCAATTGCCCGTCAAGAATGACAGGGGGCGGGCGCAGCTGGGATGGAGTGCCGCCACCTAATGCTCCATGCTGCCACTGTTCTGCTAATCATGGCAGCGTTCCCCCACGCTTGGAGCACTCTGATTGGCTATTTCCGTCAGCTAATCAGAGTGCGAATAAAGTGTTACAGACAGATGGACAGACTTAGGCTTTTATAATATTAGAATGGAGATGGGTTCATCTCTATGACCATAGAAGCAAAGGTCTCAAGCTTCATCACACGAGATTTCAATTGGAGATTAGGAAGAACTTTCTCAGTATAAGGATGATTAAGCATTGGAGCAGGCTATCTAGAGATGTTGTATTGGAACAGACTAACTAGAGAAGTTATGGAATCTCAATCTCTGGAAATTTTTGAAAGAAGGGTATACAGATACTTAGCTGGGATGGCTTAATCAGGTATGATCCTTCCTTGAGCAGGAGGCTAGACTTTAAGATCTCACATAGTCCTTTCCAGCCTTTTTATGTATATAAACATATATAAATAAAGCCTTTCACTGAAAACCAATATGTAAATATTGTAAGCCCCACCTGATTCTAACAATAAAATGCATGTTCTCTCAGCAAGGTCTTTTACCATTTTGTATTTCTATGTATGGAACATCTACACCATCTTGTGGAAAAGAATGGTAAAGTAATAAAATATTTAAAATATCAATCTGATACCAAGAGTTGTTTTAAAAGCTATGAAAACAGTATAGAATCGTTTTTTAGAATCCATAGAATGAAATCATTATAATATTCATATTTCACAAACATCCAAACAAGCAAAGAGGTCAGTAACATTTTGGAGCAGAGCATCGCCTGAACAGAACTTCGCTTGAAACGCAGGCTGCTACCAACCCTGCCACAATCACTGCTACCCCTCATAGTACTGTTGCTTCTCCCAATTGCTGAAGACCCCTGGCTATGTAGGCCAGATAAAATGATTCAGTGGGACATAGGTTGGCAACCCCTATCCTATATAACAACGTCCTGTCGTAAGCATGTATCTTCACAGAGGAAGGCGAGGAGGAAAAGGAACACGATTTAGAAAAAAACAACTATGTTAGAAGGTTAAAGAGGGTGCAGCTGAACTGTGAAACCCTCCTCTTGCCCACTTTAGACTTATCTGATTTAAGCTAAACATTTTCATACTGATAGGGTGTGTTTACACGTGCAATGAATATGAAGCAATAAACTCCGGAGCAGTTTGAGCCAGAGTAAACTACTCTTGGGTACAGCATCTACATATGCTCCCAAGACAACAGCAATTAGAGATGGGGCACAGCAGGCTTGGGGTGGCAAGGGGCATGGGAGGTCAGCCCCAGGCTCCTGGTAGTGGCACTGGGTGGCAGAAGTGCTGGCTAGGGCATGAGGATGCTGAAAATGTGTAGCCGTGTGGTTAGGTGGCAGGCAGGAGTCTGGCCCAGTGCTAGCTGGGCTGATTGAGAGCAATTTACACCCAGTGTCTACATGTGTGTTTAACTGCAGTAAATTACCCTGGCGTAAGATAGTACCATCCCTGACAGTACTATCTTACTGCAGTGTAAACCAGTTTATTGCAGCTTAATACTGTCGCACATGTAGATGGTGATGCTTTACTCCACAGCTAGTCTACTCTGCAGTAAAGCACATGTACAGACGTAGCAACAAAGAAAACTTGATTCGAATAGATCCTAGTGAAACTTGCATTGTATGTGTCCTACAGTTTATGCGTAGGATTAGGAGCTACTGAAAAAAAAAGTGCATTACTATATTACCAATGTCTTAACTACACCGACATTTCATGTATAGATAATTAAAAAATACTGTCATGCCAAAATTCTCAAGTCCTCCAAAATGTTTTTTTAGTAAAATAACCTAGGGTGTGGACACACACATTTGGAGCCCATTCAAAAAGGGAATTTCTAAAAGGACAGCAGATGTTATGTTCTTATCACTGTGTGTAAATAAACTGAGAATGACAGAAATTTAAAAGAGCCCCTGGAACATCAACCCAGGATGAAGCATTGTTAAAGCTGAAGAGTTTTGCTCATCTGAATCATTCTCAGTTAATTTACCCATAACAGTTAGACCATAACAGCTCTTTTGCAACTTTCCTCTGTAGAAAGGGCTCCAAATATACATATGTCCAGTTACATACAAATAAATTTAATACACAGCAGATTTTGATCACGGACTGAAATTGGTATCAAGTTTAATGACAAATGAAAAATATAATTGTGTAATTATACTTTCAGTAATAAAAAATGTATTGCCTTACCAGTACATCATGCACTAAGGCTTGGTATGTCCAAGTATGGTGAAGTGGAGTTGCTAAATCTATATTTCTGTCAACAAGGACTAATAAAGGCCTTTGGAAACTGTAAACAAGACATGTTGTTAGTAAATTTTAACATTATATATGTGTATATATATAAAACAGTTGGAATACCATATTTAATCACATACCACATGCACCCTTTTTGCAAGAACTGCCCCTCTAAAATTGGGGTTCATGCCTTAAGGGAACCTGATTTCTGCATAGGAATGGAAGCATAGGGATGCCAGAATGGCTGATGGGGGCTGTCCTCTCCCTTTTCTCTAGCTAGCATTCAGCTGGTGTGGACTCTTCAGCCAAAGAGCAACAGTTTTAACCCTCTGACAGCCATTGCCAAATTGGCAGTAGTTTTTGGCTGAGCAGCCAGTGAGCTGGCTGAGGGAAAGTGAGCCATTCCATGTGGTCAGCTTTTGGCCATGACTGGAAAAATCTTTTTCTTCTTCAGTCTGCCTTTCCAAAACAAGGTGCATGTCTTATGTGGGGGTATGTGGTATGAAGTAAAATGCAGTATTCCTAGTTTCAAAAATAATATTTGCTGTCTTCCATTTCCTACTTCTACGCAAAAGTCAAATCCTAACTAAATGGTATTAGAAAAATTTCCCTTCTTGGTAGATTAATAATTCATCTGTTACAGGTTTTCCAGTCCTCCCATTCACATCTTTCTTTAAACATCTAGGCTGACCAGTGCCAGATATATGATATTGGATAGAAGGATGTGTGTCTGATATAGAAAAACAATTGCTATGATCTGTATTAACATCCACACAACTTTAAATCCAAGTCAAATAATAAGCACTAACAACCTATTAGCTTAGGCCTTGTAAAGACTTTCAGTTTCTCCTGGGATAGTCACTGCTCTCCCAGGAAAAAACACAAGTTTATAGATGTTCAGGCTTTTCCTCACAAAGTAAAAAAGAAGCAACCCCCCCCCCCCCCCCCCCCAACCTCAGAACAACCACAGTTAAATCACTCCCAAGAGAGTTTCTTCTGGGAGAGTGCATGTCTGTCATGATGACATCCATAATGAGCATCTACTGGCACTGAGTGATCACTTTTTATCTATGGACAGCAATTAAGTATGCAAGAAAACTAAATTGTTTGTTAGCAGCTTCTGAAACAAGCTGATCAACTGTGGAAAGTATTAGGATGGGAAGATGAACAGGCTCAAGAGGTTTGCTTCTTCTCAAAATGTCTTCAGTATAATTTTTGACAACTGTTATGCCACATCCTCACAAGGAAGTTTCTATGTATTGTGTCACTTTTCCTGTCTGATTTGTATATGAAGTAATCTAAAAATGAATCCTTTAATTTGCACTGTCAGCAATATGTTGATGCTCAACTCCATGGACAAAATTTTGAAAACTGCTCAAATAACTTAGGTACTTAAGTCTCATTAAAAGGAAATGCAGCTAAAGCTCCTATATGCCTACATCACTTCTGAAATGGGTCTTATGTACTTTGGAAAATGCTTCCATTTCATTGCAACCAGATACTACAGCTTAACTTCCTGACCAGAATCTAGAAAACTAGCTTGCTTTGTGGAAGAAAGCAAATGAATTACAACTAAAACTCTCCAAAGCCAAGAACTATGAGGTATTACGTAGCACTTTCCATCATACCTACTGGACATATCTGAACAAAATGATGATTTAGTCCTCCAAATAGAATTAACAAAATTGTACTAGTGGGGGATTTAAATCTCCCTGATATCAGCTGGAATAATAATGCAACAAAACATAAAACGTTGAGTAAATTTTTAACATATGTAGATGACAAGGCTACAATATGGGATCCATCTATTTTGGATCTTTTTTTCTGGCCAATAATGAAGAATTGCAAACCTGAAAATGATAGGAAAAATGTGAGGAAACGATTCTACTATGATAGCATTTCTGATTCAAAGAAAGGGAAGGCATTAGAAGAAAACAACTCTTACGGACACTGGACTCAAAAGGACAGATGCCATCTAACTCATAGAAAAAGTAGGTGAGGTACCACAGAACAGGCTAAAAGAAAGAAGGGTCTAGGAGGGTTAGCAGTTTTTAAAGGATATCATTTTGGACACTCAAGAAAATCTATTCCCAGACAGCATAAAGATAAGAACTACTGCAGAAGGCTGACAGCTACACAAAATCAAAAGCACAGGTGAAGAGAAAGACGGATGAGCCACCAAGGCATTGGTAAGAACTTGCAAGGACAAAAATCAGGAAGGCAAAGGCAACACACAAAAGGAAAAGGATATTAAAGACAACAAAAAAACTCTATAAATATGCCAGAAAGAAAAGAGACCAAGGAAACTGCAGGTCAGCTGCTCAATAATGATGATGAGCTATTAAGGCAGAGCTGCTCAATTATTATTTTGCCTGTCTTCATAATAAAAAGAAGTGACAAAGGAGAAGGGCTGCTAATCACGATTAGTAAAGAGTGGGTTAGAGAGATTTAGACAAATTTGAATGGATTTAAGTTGTCAGGTCCTCCCAAAAATTGTTCCAGGGTGCTGAAAGGAATGGCCGAAGAGATTTTGGAGCCACTAGCAATATTTATAAAAGCAGAGATGACAGATGAATTGGAGGCTGACATATAATATCCATCTTTATGAAAAAGGACCTAGGGAATTATAGACGAAATCTCATCTCAATGTAAGAAATGACTAGAAAATTATAAAATAATATGTTAACACTTGAATGAGAAAGAGTTTCACACCAAACAGACTTGTTAACAGCAAATCATGAGATATCAATCTGATTTCCTCCTTTGACGAGGTAATTAATTTTGTGATTGTGGATAAGGTGGAGCTAACAGACTTTAGCAAGGCTTTTAATAGAGTCCCACATAACTAGGGATCTGGATATTCCATTTCCCATTGAAAAATGGATAAAACCAGAGTTACCATTTTTATCAGAGAAAATGTGGATTCTCCCTTTTAGCAGAGAAACCTGTGGACAGGGGAAACCCGTGCCTGCGGACAGGGGGGTTTGCACACGGTGGCAGCTGCTGTGCCCTGCACTGCCTTCCCACGGCTGGCTGCATGGCTCCGCGAGCACAGCTCTGTAGGCAAGCGGCATGGGGCGCAGCAGCTGCATGCAGGCCTCCCCACCCCGCCAGCCGGGTGGCACACAGCCGCCATCACCACCACCCTGTGCTGTAACTTGCCTGCAGAGCTGTGCCCGTGGAGCTTGCCCATGGTGCTGTGCAGCCAGCTGTGGGAGGCCAGCGCAGCAGTGTGGTGGCGGCCACTGTGTGCGAATTTCCTTGTCTGGCTGCCCGTGTGCAGCCCGCAGAGGGGCACTGCTGCCATCGCCCCCCCACCCCCCAGCCCTACTCCTGGGAGCAGGCAGAGAGAGACTCCCCACTTCTCGATCTGCGCCCCCCAGTCCCTTCCCTTTCCCCTGCCCCACCCTATCCCTTCCCCCCCACACACTTACCTGCTGGGGTGTGTGTCTTTGTGCCTCCATGTCTGTGTTTGTGGGGCTGTTGTGGGGGGAGTGAGGGGCACCAGCAGGGTTGGGGGGACTGTGTGTGTATGTGGGGGGTTTAATTGTAATAGCGGATTTTGGGTTTTTTATCAGAGGATTTGCAATTTTTCTATCAGGGAAAACCAGGATCCCTGTACATAACATTCTCATGAACAATCTAGAGAAATGTGGGCTACACAGAATTAGAGTTAAGAGGATACCATAATTGGCTGAGTAACAGCAAACACATGCATTTACAAGTGGATTAAAGTCAGAATGGCAGGTAGTTTGTATTAGGGTTCTACACAGGTCTATTCTGACTCTGGTGCCATTTAGCATTTTTATTAACAAATTGGATGCTGGACTAGATAGTTTCCTGGTCAAGTGGGTACATGATACAAAATGCTTTGGAGGACAAAAGTGGATTCCTTTTAAAAGGCTATTGTTAGACTAGAGAGCTGGGTTATAAACAATAAAATTACATTCAAACACAAGTGTAAAGTATAATATCTCTGAGGCAAAAAACCCCCCAAATACGCAAACAGAGAATGTGAGATATTTGGCTAGGCAGCAGTGGTGCTCAGAAGGATCTGGAGGTTTTGGTTGGTCAGACACTCAACATGAGTCAGCAATACGATGTGGTTAAAAAAAGAAGCAGCATGTGACCAGTTTTGAAATATTAGAAAGAGAAGGTATAGCAACTATCCTCCCTTGCTATAGGTGGCAAAACATGAAGCAATGGTTTTAAACTGCTGACAAGCAGATTTAGATAAAATCTTCAAAAAAATCCCAAACTGTAGGACAATGGAACAAGCTGTGCACAACAGTTGTGGAATCCTATGATTCAATGACTCCAACCTTTGCATTCTGCTTCTACACAAAAGCAGCCCATTATTACTCTTTTACACCTGGCCACAAGTTTACAAATATTTTTCGTTGGTGTAGTCCTTATGATGGTTCTCCCACCTTTCTTATCTACAGGCTAGAATGATTTAAATATGCTCTCTTCAATGCTACTCCTGGAGTCTACCAGGAGTAGCATCAGGGGTACAAGCACTACCATTACCCCAGAGATCTTCACAGATGGTCTCTTTTTCACATAATCTAAAGATAATGGTGACAATCTTGAAAGCCCTGAACAATGTGGATCCAAGTAAACTTAGAGAAAGACTTATCATATGCCACCCCTTATAACAGGCTCACCTGAACTGTCAAAATCCCATGACGGCTGGCAGGACCCTTTGCTGATAAAACAGCTAATTTATTTTGTGTTGACTAGATAAAAGTAAAGTTGTGAATACCTCTGTATGCAAAAAGCATGAAACACATTTTTTGTTCTGGAAGTTCATGTGACAGAAGCTTTTGCAGGGTATTGGATCTTTCTGGGTGAGGAGCTGATAAAAAACATGGCCAGCTTGCTTAATTATGTAGAAAAGTTTTAGTTCAGGATTGCAGGGCTGCACATTCTCCTACTCCTAAACAGCTGTTAAAAGGAAAATATGAAGAATAATTTTTATTTTCCTTAATGATATTTTTAAGTCTTCATAAAAACAAACCAGTCAGGATATGATCCACATCTTTACATTCACCTGTCCAATGATTAAGCGCAATGAAAACTTGATTTCTATAAGCCTACTGGAATTACTGCAATTAAAAACACAAAACAAAACTCATTAATACAATACCTGAACTGTCCAGCCCCAAGTGTATCCCCTGTGAAAAGACTGTTTCTGGCATCTCTTAAGTTCTCTCTGAGCTTCTTATCCAACTTCTGAAAAAGGAAATGTAAAGTACCTTTTCACTGGCTAGCAAGCATAGCAATTCTCCTTACCAGTCTGTGCAATGAATATTTAAGACAGATGGGTATCATCCTATGACAAACCAATTACCCAAATCAGCTTAATTTTTCTATGGATCATATTTAAGCTACACTAACTTACTCCGGACAATCTTCACAATTACCACACTGCTATCTCAATAGTTCTGCATAAACTCATGATTGTTTAAGTAATCTAAATCTAACTGAAGTGGAACATCTCTTTAAGAACTTATGCTAAAAACACTATTTCAACTAGCAAAATAAAGCATTGGAAGTTAGAAAGTTCTAGATTTACAGTTGACCAGGAAATCTGAATTATGTCTCCTCCACGTATCCAAACAGTGCATTGAGTATGATACTATCTTGTGGAAAAAAAACAGTAACCGAATATGTAATTCAGGACATGGATACAAGATAGCTCAATTAGGGTTGCATGGACACCCGAGTCCAGCACTTTCCCGTTTTCAGGAAACAGCTATTAGGTATTGCTGCAGAAGCAACTTCAACCTGACCTTCACACGCCCGTCGAGATTTTTGTATCGACTGCAAGCAAGTTAAGGGTCAGTACTTCTCTCTAAGCAAAAAATGAAAGGAATTTCATGAGACAAAAAAAAGGAACTTCTTTAGCTGGAGGGTTATTTCCTCTTTCAAATATTACTATAGACCTTTTTCTTACTAATCCTCCAAAATTATTTCAAAATGAACAATGTTAGGCAACCTTCCGATGATTTCTTGAACAAAATTAATTTACAAGTGTCTTTTAAATGATTTTATACGGCATTTAACTCTGATCTGATATCATGAAGCAGCAAGAATTCACAAGATCAGTTGTAGAACATTTCAGATTTGTTATTTAGGGACCCTCTACACATACCGGTAAAGGCGTAATGGGATTTAACACGTGATCCACACAATCACACCTCCTGCCATGCCACACATGTATGGCAGGAGGCATGACTGTGGGATCCAGCATCAGATCCTATCATGCCTTATTTACTGCTGGTAAAGGGGAAGCCCAGGATGGCCATCCCAGGCTTCCCCTGTTCCAGCAAGTCAATTGTCCAAATTAGCTCCCCATTCATGTGGCAACTTAAATTCTCATCTCAGCCCTCAAATTCAGTTTCAGTACCTCTCCCAATTAGGCATCATCACTCCAGAAGCTGCCAACTCCCTTTCTATTTAACCTGTAGGGGTGTCTCGACAGTTCCCAAACTAGGCCAGAGGGTTCTTCAATATTACTCTCCTTGCTTACAAAACTGTTATAATCACTAGCCACTTTTTAGAGAAAGGAACAAAATATAAAGATTGAAATATTTTTGGCTTCTTCTAGGGAAAAAATGCTGGAGTTAAGCTCTTCAAGAAACAATTTGCAGAGCAGGTCTCAGCCATTCAGAAGGTGATGAGAGAAAGTCTGGCCAAAGGAAAAGCGAGCCTAGAAAATCTAATCTACTTTGCAGGCCCAGAAGATGTGTCCAAGAGATTCAGCATAGCTGGCTCTTCACTAACTTTTCTGTCAAACTAATGAGTGTGAGTGAAGTGCCCACTACAAGCCAGACAGCAAACAGAAACTCTTGTTATCCTAACATGTGCAGCATTGGTCAAGTTTGGTTCACATTTTAAGTTTTATCACTTGCAAGATTTAGAAATCAATTATTTTAAATCTACATTGAGAAATACAAGCCTCATCTTGGATTTGAGTACTGGCTGGGGTAGGCAGCTGCTGTGTGGCACCAGCATGGGGAGGGAGGCGGGGAGGAATGTGGGGAGCAGGAGTGAAGCAGGATGGGTGGGCAGACAGTATGAGGAGCAAGTGACTGGGGGAGCAGGGGTTAGGCAGCAGGTGACTAAGTGGCCTGGGAAACGGCGATGGCAGCAGGGGGGCAAGTGGTCGGGGTAAGGGGAAAGGTAGCAGGTTCAGGCATGTAGGCGGGCAAGGGCTGGGAATTTGGTAGCTTGCCCTCCCATGGCTGCTTTCCCTGCTGCAGCAGTGGGGGAGATGAATTTAACACAACCCCCCCAGTAATTATATCCAATACATGGAAAACTGTAAGAAATTTATAACTTTCCATGTAAAGAAGCTAATTATTGGGAGGTTTGTTTTAAATTCAAAGCCATTTTGGATTCAGCTGAATACTGTATCTATGTAATTTTAATATTTTCATTTAGAATGAAAGTGCTTAAGTCATAAAATAATACGTAAACGAGACTAACTGCAGCTGAAAATGAATCTAAAAATAATAAATCTTCTAACTGCTAGGCAATGTCGTAATAAGGAAGGATAGATTTTTCTTCATAGATTTCATAGACATTAGGACTGGAAGGGACCTCGGAAGATCATCGAATCCAGCCCCCTACCCCAGGGGCAGGAAGTCAGCAGGGATCATAGGATCCCAGCAAGATAAACATTCAGATGTCTTTTGAAGGCGTTCAGAGTAGGAGCTTGAACCACCTCCGGCGGCAATCTATTCCAAACCTTGGGGGCTCAGACAGTAAACAAGTTCTTCCTTATGTCCAGCCTGAAACGGTCATGGAGGAGTTTGTGACCGTTTGACCTTGTCATCCCTGGGGCGCTCTGGTGAACAGACGTTCCCCCAGATCCTGGTAAGCACCCCTGATGAACTTATAGGTGGCCACCAGATCACCCCTGAGCCTGTGCTTTTCCAGGCTGAAGAGTCTGGAAAATCCACTGGCTGGAAAATTGGCTCCGTGGTCAGACCCAGAGGGTAGTAATTGATGGAAGTCACTCATCATGGTGTCCTGTGACCAGTGGGGTCCCCCAAGGCTCTGTCCTTGGACCCATACTGTTCAACATCTTCATTAGTGATGTGGACACTGGAGTCAGAAGCGGACTGGCCAAGTTTGCCGATGACGCCAAACTTTAGGGCAAAGCATCCACACCAGAAGACAGGCGGGTGATCCAGGGACAGGCTCAGCAAGTGGGCGGACGAGAATCTGATGGTGTTCAACGCCGATAAATGCAAGGTTCTCCACCTTGGGAAGAAAAACCTTATAGGCACGGAAGTGCTACGTTGGCTAGCACTATGGAAGAAAGAGACTTGGGGGTCATCGTTGACCACAAGATGAACATGAGCCTGCAGTGCGATGCTGTGGCTAGTAAAGCGACCAAAACACTGGCTTGCATCCATAGATGCTTCTCAAGCAAATCCCGGGACGTCATTCTCCCCTTGTACTCGGCCTTAGTGAGGCCGCAGCTGGAGTATTGCGTCCAGTTTTGGGCTCCACAATTCAAAAAGGATGTGGAGAAGCTTGAGAGAGTCCAGAGAAGAGCCATGCGCATGATCAGAGGTCAGGGAAGCAGACCCTACGATGACAGGCTGAGAGCCCTGGGGCTCTTTAGCCTGAAAAAGCGCAGGCTCAGGGGTGATCTGATGGCCACCTACAAGTTTATCAGGGGTGACCACCAGCATCTGGGGGAACGTTTGTTCACCAGAGCGCCCCAAGGGATGACGAGGTCGAATGGTCACAAACTACTTCAAGATCGTTTCACGCTGAACATAAGGAAGAACTTCTTTACTGTCTGAGCCCCCAAGGTCTGGAACAGCCTGCCACCAGAGGTGGTTCAAGCGCCTTCATTGAACACCTTCAAGATGAAACTGGATGCTTATCTTGCTGGGAGACCCCAGCTGACTTCCTGCCCTTTGGGCAGGGGGCTGGACTCGATGATCTTCCGAGGTCCCTTCCAGCCCTAATGTCTATGAAATCTATGAGTCCCGTGGCTCTCAGTGTCTTTTCATAAGGTCTGCTTTCCAGATTTCTGATCATGTGTGTGACTTTCCTCTGCACTCTGTCAAGCTTCTCCACATCCTTTTTGAACTGTGGAGCCCAAAACTGGATGCAGTACTCCAGCTGCAGCCTCACCAAGGCTGGGTACAATGGGAGGATGACGTCCTGAGATTTACTTGAGAAGAATCTGTGGATGCAAGCGTTTTGCCTGCTTTACTAGCAGCAGTATCACATTGCAGGTTCATATTCATCTTGCAGTCAATCATGACCCCCCAAGTCCCTTCATCAATTCAAAGTACTGTACTTGCTCTTCAAATTACAGTCAACTTTAGTTTTTTACCAGTTTACACCCTCCAAAATACTTCTGTCTGACAATTATACAAATCTTCAAGAATTCCTGAGATCCAAATAAATTCATAGAAACTGAACCCCTGAATTATATGAACTATTTTTAGAAATATTTTACAAATTTCTAACTTCTGCTTGACCCAGACTGAAAGAACAGGTTTGTAGGCTGATACAAAGCAGCAGAAGAGGAGAAAATCAAGAGGAGGAGCTGGACAGGGAATTTTCAGGCCAGCTTGCAGAGACACTAAAAGCAAGGGATGTAGTTGTCATGGGCGATTTTAATTACCCGGACATCTGCTGGGAGGAGCAGTCAGCCGGGACGGACCGCTCCACGGACCGCTCCAGGACGTTCTTGCCCGAGTTGCAGGCCCTCCACGTGATTCAGGAGGTGCACAGTCCCACCAGAGGAGATGCCCTGCTGGACCTGGTCCTGGCCGCAGGCGACGACCTGGTAAGAGGCCTCCAGGTTCTTGACCACCTGGGCAATAGTGATCATCGCGTGCTGGAATTCACCATCCAGCGTAGAGTGTCAAGGGCCCGCAGCAAGGTGGTAGCCCTAGACTTCAGGAGGGCCAACTTCAGTGAGATGAGGAGATTAGTGGGAGAGGAACTGGGGTCCTTGAGGGCAGAGGAACTCAGCGTCCAAGAGGAGTGGTCGTTCCTTAAGGAAACGATACTCGGGGCCCAAGGGGTGTCCATCCCGACAAGAAGCAAGGCGGGCAGGAGTGTCCAAAAGCCCCCCTGGCACACCAAGGGTGTCCGGGAATGCCTGCTTGCCAAAAAGGCGGTGTACGCCCAGTGGAAGGGGGGTGTAATCTCAAAAGAGGAGTATACCTCCTCTGCTCGGGCCTGCAGGCGGGCTGTTAGGAAGGCCAAGGCGGATATAGAGCTCGGATTAGCGTCCAGGATTAAGGATAACAAAAAGTCCTTTTTCAAATATATTGGGAGGATGAAGAAGGCGCCGGGTAATGTGGGGCCCCTGCAGGATATGCGGGGCAATCTGGTGGTTGCGTCAGAGGATAAAGCGGACCTCTTTAACCAATTCTTCACCTCCGTTTTCTTGTGCAGGGACCGGGACTTCCCTGCTGTGATAGAAGCCGGACGCGAGGGGATCGCCTTCAGACCTCAGGTTGGGGAGGACCGGGTTAGAGAGCTTCTGGAGGGGCTGGACGCGTTCAAGTCAGCGGGTCCGGATGCTCTCCACCCCAGGGTGCTGAGGGAGCTGGCTGGGGTTATTGCAGGGCCCCTGGCACGGCTCTACGAGCGATCGTGGTGCTTGGGCCAGGTGCCAGACGATTGGAAGGTAGCTAATGTGGTCCCCATCTTCAAAAAAGGGAAAAGGGAGGACCCGGGCAATTATAGGCCCGTCAGTCTTACCTCAATCCTGGGGAAACTCTTTGAGAAGATCATCAAGGAGCACATTTGTGATGGGCCGGCATCAGAAATGATGCTCAGGGGCAATCAGCATGGATTTATTAGGGGGAGATCATGTCAGACCAACCTGATTGCCTTTTATGATCAGGTCACAAAGGCCATGGACGCAGGTGTCGCGGTGGATGTAGTCTTTCTGGACTTCAGCAAGGCCTTTGACACCGTCTCTCACCCCATCCTAATTAGTAAACTAGGCGACTGTGGCATAGATGCCTACACGGTCAGATGGATTGCAGATTGGCTGAAGGGTCGCACTCAGAGGGTGGTGGTGGATGGATCATATTCGACTTGGGGGGAGGTGGGTAGTGGAGTCCCTCAGGGCTCGGTCCTGGGCCCTGCGCTGTTCAATGTCTTCATCAGCGATCTTGATGTTGGGGTGGAGAGCAACCTGTTTAAATTCGCTGATGACACCAAAATTTGGGGGGAGGTGAGCACGCTAGCAGGGAGAGAGAGATTGCAGAAGGATCTGGATAGGTTACAGGGGTGGGCAGACAGGAACAGGATGCGTTTCAATACGGACAAGTGCAGGGTGCTGCACTTGGGTAGTAGGAACCAGCAGCACACTTATACGATGGGGAACTCCCTACTTGAGAGCACGGAGGCGGAAAGGGATCTTGGTGTCATTATTGACTCCAAGATGAACATGGGCCGACAATGCGAGGTCATGGTTGGCAGGGCTAACCGGACCTTGTCGTGCATCCACAGGTGCATCTCGAGTAGAGCCAGGGAGGTGATCCTCCCCCTCTATGCGACGCTGGTCAGGCCGCAGCTGGAGTATTGTGTCCAGTTCTGTGCGCCCCATTTCAGGAGGGATGTGGACAACATGGAGAGGGTCCAGAGGAGGGCCACCCGCATGATCCGGGGACAACAGGGCAGACCCTACAGTGAGAGACTGCGGGACTTGAACCTATTCAGCCTCCACAAGAGAAGGCTGAGGGGGGACCTGGTGACCGTCTATAAACTCACTAGGGGGAACCAGAAGGGTTTGGGGGAGACGCTGTTTCCCCTAGCCCCCGCTGGCATAACAAGGAGTAATGGGCACAAGTTGATGGAGAGGAGGTACAGATTGGACATCCGAAAAAACTACTTCACAGTTAGGGCGGCTAGGAGCTGGAACCAACTTCCAAGGGAGGTGGTGCTGGCCCCTACCCTGGGGATCTTTAAGAAGAGGCTGGATACCTACCTGGCTGGACTCATTTGAGTCCCGTTTTTGTTTTTAGGGTTTTTTTTTGTTGTTCTCCCGCCCTGGCGGGGGGTTGGGCTAGAAGATCTATTAGGTCCCTTCCGACCCTAAAACTATGAAACTATGAAAATAAAAGATTTTTTAGGCTGAAGCAACATGCATCACCATCCACATTTCAAAAAAGGTATGGAGTATCGACTAAGCACACAATGTCTACCCTTGTACTTTCTGTAACTGATAACAGAAAACCAGCCATGAATGTTGTCATTTGTTTTTTTTCTTTTGAAAAAAAAAAAGAACATAGTTAAATGTTTGGAGTTATGAAAACAAAAATACTGCTTAGCAAGTTTACTTGAAATAATCACATTAAAAAAAATTTCTTACCACTGCCACCATTTCTGCTGCAGTTCCTCTTGAACATCTGATTATAGGAATAGCTCCTATTAAAAAGATACAGTGACCTCTATTTACATTTATGTCACAATAATTCAGATGATAAGTTTTATTAAAATTGTTTTTGGATGCTACATTTTTAATGCAGGCCACCCAACTGCACACAAAGTTTGCCCTGTATAGGCATTAACTTAAACTACAATTGTGATTTTCTATCACTATAAACAGAAATACAAAGCCAAAGTATGAATGGATGGATGCTTGATCCCATGTAATATAGTAGCAATACACAGAGTTTAAAAGATTACCAGTTAAAATACTAAAAACCAATTATATTAATTTCATGTTACTTATTTTTAGGTCTGCTTAGTCCAAAATATTGTTGCATTTACACTATTTACTTTCATTCCTCCCTACTAGACAATTAAATACATCAGTTAGTTTCACTTTTGCTCAGCTATTTTTCCTTTTGTTTACTTTATACTGTTTACATTTTTTATTTTCATTTGCTCCTCCTGGACACTTAAGTAGGTCAGTTTAATATTTGCTTATAATAATTAAGGTTTTTTTTATTGCTAAAATACCATCGTATTTGGCTTTCAACAGTTTGAAGGGGAATGATTATTCATTAAAAAAATATTCCATTGGAATTTAAAGTTTTTAATGTCATATTTTAAATGCTTCTAATTGCATATGTATAAAAGCAAAAGTGTTTTATATTTTAAGTGCTTTCAGTTAAGACATTTCTCTTATACCAGCAGAGAAATTAAAGGAGCTAAAAAAATACAAAAGAACCCTAGCTCAGACTGCTCCAGGGAAGTGCTAAACTCTCATCTTCAAGACTGTACAATTTTATGCAGTGAAAAGGGAAATCAGGGTAACTAAGCTTAGAACTTGAGGGTTTTTAATTTTAAGCGACCAAAATACATTTGCTGAACCGCTAACCAGACAGACACAAAATTTTCCAAAATTACTTTTGTAGACAGTGAAATAGTTATTAGTAACACACACAATTACTGTCTTGCCTGGTATTTAACAAGACTTAGGTTTAATAGCAAAGTACCAGACAGCTTTCCTATTATAAGATGCATTTTATTTTGTTTGTGGTCTAAGGTACTTAATTTTCATGGCGAAGGAGTTATTTATTGCTTCAAAGAAAGAAAAGTAGTGAAAAGTATTTTTGTTTTACATTTAAAAATATGAAATATTTAATTAATAGATTCATACAATTCTAAAATATTGTATTACCAGGCTGGCCATAGTGACAATGACCATGATTTTCTATAAGAAAAATTAAGCATGGGAATTTCAAAAGTGTTCCATCCTGAACTCAGTGAAGTCATGGGGGACATGACAACAACGTTGATTTAGTAATCATTAATTAAATTCAGAATAAATAAGAAAAACCTCTTGAAAAGCTAAACACTCATTCTATGACTTCTACTATGTTCATCTCCATGAAAGATATGAATGAAAAACCACAGGTTCATCCAAAATCCCCCACAAAATTTTCCAGGCCATTAAATGAGACTCATCTTTCCTACAAACGTAGACATTACTCTTGCTAAAACCTACACAGCAAATAGATTCCAGGAGTCTGCTCTGGCTGCAATTCCTTTAATGATAAACATATTAATTCTTTGACTATTTAACTAAAATGCATGCCTGTTTAAAAGAACAAAAATTGAAAAAATAAGAGTACTTGAATACTTACCAAGTGTAACAAAAAAGCAGAAAAGACTGTCAACAATGGTGTCCATAATTGTCTCCATTTCAGTATCTGTTATATCTGGTCTGCTAATGGCTAAAATATTGAAAAGGTGGGGGGGGAGGGGAGAGAGTTTTGTTATAGTTTAAATTAATTTCTATAATATATAAACTTTACATTGAAGGAACCTCCTATGGCAGCCAGTAACTGTTAACAACCACCAAAATGACTGACAAAATGAATAATAATTAAAAAAAAACAAACCCCAAGGAAGATATGGTAAAGCCTCCATTTGATGTTTCTACATCTGCTGCCATTTTACAGCTCGGGGATCCACGTTTTAAGAAGATACCAGAGTATTATCATTGATATTTTAAAATAAAACATAATGGGAAAATGCTAACGAGGAAACAAACATGGCCAGTTAGATGAAAACAAATGCACTCCAAGCTGCTTTCATATAGCTGACAAAACAGAATTCTAACTTGAGCAAATTATTATCTTGTTTATGGACAGTAATAGTACAGATTCACAGGGCTGACAGGGGCCTCAAGGGTCTAGTCCAACCGCTGTACAAATACAGGGATGATGTTCTTAAATTATGCTTATCCAGCCTCTTGAAAACCTCCACTGAAGAATTTACTGCTATTATGTCTTCCCTTAACCTCCTTTTCTCCAAGCTAAACATACCCAGTTCTCTCAGCCTTTCCTCATATGGCTTGCCTTCCAACCCTTTTATCATTTGGATCCTCTCACTCTTTCTTAAAATGTGGACCACAAAGCTGCACAAAGTATTCCAGCTGAGGGGCAACCAGTGCTGAGCAGACAGAGTAGTACCATCAACCTTTGCATCTTACACATAATATGTACCCAAAGTTACATCTACCTTTTTTGTGACTGTCATGTTGCTGCTGAGTCCATAATCCACCAGACCCCCAAGATACTTCTCAGGCCTGCTACTGATCAGCCAATTACCATTTTTACTCAACTTCAGGATGAGGTTTCCTCATTCAACATGGGGAAAAAAGCCCTGTGTCTTGGAATTGAATACAAGCAGGGGGAATGGGAGGGTGCAGCAGTTGCTGCTCCAACTTCAACTCTGACCCCAAGCTCCAGTTTGGAGCTGTAGCTGCTGCCCTCTGACCCACTGCAGCCTCTGCTCCCCACCACTGCCCCCTGCCTTCCTGTCGCAGCGCCAGCATTGATAATCACCTCTTGCTTGCAGCTATTGACCCAATTATGTATCCGTCTATTAGTATTTTTAACTAGACCACGTTTCAAGTTTACTTCTGAGAATACCATGTGGGACAATATAAAATTCCTTATTGAAGTGCACATATATTACTGCCCATCACATTTCTTTCATCCACTCAACCAGTTACTTTGAGTGGATGAAGGGGAGAAGATCAGTTTGGTTTGGCTTGATTTACTGTTAACAAATCCATATTGACTGCTAGTGATTACCTTTCTTCCTCCAGATTTTTACAAATTGATTTATGTATCATTTGCTCTATGAACTTCCCAAATACTAAGGTCAGGATGATTAGTCCTTCTTTTCCCCTTTTTTAAAATATGTGCAATGTTAGTGCCCGTCACCCATGACTTTGTATTAAAACATATCACACACACACAATATATATATATAATATATATGGTATATAAATATGCAGTGTGTGCGCGCGCGTGCGTGTGCATGTGTATACGTGCACATGCATGTGTGCGCGTAAAAATCCATGTTTACTTACCACGATATGAAATGAGCTCTTTGTTTTGATTGCACAATAGGAACATATCATCTTCCAATGTTATAAAATTGAGATATTGATCAAAGACCTAGAAATCAATTGCAATAGTAGTCAAAGTCACACCACATTTGAGCTATAATCTGCATCTGAACGTTACAGGGTGGGCCACCTATAGGATCTACAGCATTGTTTACAACATCTAATGATCAAATGAATAAATGTAACTATCTGAGTATAGTACAAAATCAGAATGGATGCTGATCAGAATTAATAAGAGAAAACGAATTCCTAAGTGGTTCTAGAACACTAACTGCAATATGGAAGAACTCGAGAGATATGATGATTTTTATGAAGCAATCAAATAATTTCAATATAATGCTGAGTTCATTGTATAATATTTTAACTCATGTATTAAGATATAAAAGTGTGAAAAATATAAAAGCATTAAACAAGAGAATAAGGATATCTGAAATGAAGTCAGCAGAGCTGTATCCCAGGTGAGGATCTCTCTCTGAGGCCCCTGGCAGACATTACAGTTATGGTGAGATTAAGGTGTAAATCACAAAATAATAACAGTGCTACAAAAATAATAACAGTGCTACATGTGTAAATGATTTGTGGCATCATAAACTGGCAATCCAGCCACAAAGATGTTCCACAGATTTAATGGAACATCTCTGTAACTCATTTGTATGGCACCATAAATTGAATGTTAACACCTGACCTTGGGCTCTCCCAGGGCTGAGGCTGACAACTGGCTGATTGTTGACCCCAGCCCCAACAATGTACATGGTTTCTAAGTAGGTCTGGAGTTGTCCTGCAGATGACACCAATAATCAGCAGATTGTTCAGCACAGCCAGGGCAACAATCAGCTGATTGTTGGCCCAGTCCAAGATCTGGAACAGGCTTGGTGCTGGGGGCAGCCCTACATGCAGGACAGAGCCACCCCCAACACACAGGATCAGGCAAGGGAGCAACTCAACTGGCACAATGATAGCAACCGGGCATAAAATGTCCTTCCATTGCAATCATGCCATTATTTTAACACAGGGGTGGGCAAAAATGGCCTGCCAACTGACTGTATCCAGCCTACGGGTTGGTGACCCCTAAGCCATGGGATCCGGCCCACAGGGAACCGGCAGCTCTGGCTTCTGCATTGTGCCAGGTGGGCAGGCACGTACCAGCCCCATTTGCAGCTTACACCAGCTCGCAGCCTGCACACTGGAAGCAGCACTGGGCACATGCTGGCATCATCTGTGGATGCTGCTGGTAAGTTTCTGTTGGGGATTGGGGCGACTGCTCAGGACCACAGCTGATGCACTGATGCAACAGTGTCACCTGTGAACCCAAATGAATGCCCTGACTGCCATCCGTAACCTGCCAACTATATCCGTAGCTGATGCTGGTGCCTACCCAGTGTTGCTTCCAGGATGTGAGCCGGGAGTTGGCATAAGCTACAGGGACGTGCTGTAGGTGCATGAAGGTTCGGGGGGAGAGAGGGAGGGAATGGCTGGGGGGAGGGGAGACAGAGACTGGGAGATGCACCCCTGCCCACGATGAGTGGCAGCAGCTAGTGCTGGGCACAAGAAAAAAGCGGGACCTGGCAGCGGGTGTGCTCACTGCTGCTGGGGCCCTTCTGGTTTCAGCTTTTACTTGAGATGAATTAAGAACTAATAATTTATTAGAGCAGACTATGAAAAGAATTCTTCAGAAACAAACTTTGGCATGAGTCCATTCCATATATAAAAAAGGTGTTTGACATGTTAGATAGGCTCAGCTTTTATTTAAAGTTTCTTAGTTCTTTATAATTATCTTAATATATCACAGATACATTTTGTGCTCAATTGCCTGCTGCTGGTGCAGTCTTTATTTGCAATTATATCATGAATTTTCATGAATTTGGGAGCAAACAAAAAATCATATTAAGCCAACCCCAAAAAGAAAAAAAAGATTAAAAAAAACCATATTCCTACTTTAGTGGTAAATGTTTTGTGTAACGTTAAAAACACCACCACACTTGTAATATTATTATAATGTAGCTATCTTTAAAAGAAGGTTTTGCTTCAGTATGAATATTCTGTGCACATCTAATATTTATCACATGGTGAGACAGGTCTCATAAGACAGAAACAGATGGTGACAGTTTCTTACTCCTATCATGTCAAATCGAGATAGCAAAAATGAACACTGGTCCCAAGTTTATGTTTAAGTCAACAAGATGCCTTCTGAAAATCCCTGCCAATTTCTTTAGAAATAATGAACAAAATATTATCCTGAGGCAATCTCTTACCTTAGCAACTTGTGTTACTGCATTAGCACCTAAGGCAGCATTTGCAATATCTTCCAGTTTACTTCTTGAAATGGCAGAAATGAAATTTAAATAATAAGATTCATAAAGCTGATTTCGAAGATCCTGAAAGCAAAAGTTAACGATTTTTGGTGTGAATAAGATCTTCTAAATAAAAATGATGCTTTCTTAAAATCCAACCATCTTCATTGAAGTGTTCTAGTTATTTACATTTTATGTGGAGTGTTTAGATATCCATTCATATATAAAACACTATGATGTATTGACTGCCAACAAAGAGGTAAAATAAAGTCATAAAACTCAAGTTTGCAGAAACAACTGCAATAGAATTCTTTTCTGTGTGGCAAATATGCACTAATATGTGCACATTAAACTCTCAGAAAAGATGTATTTGAATGTTCACCGAAATAAGATTTTGAAGGGGTCTATTACAACATGTGCTCTCCCTTCAGATCAGTTTGACGCATATAAAAATGATAAATGTGCAAAGTAAATTACCTGGCACATTCTGTCAATATTTTCTTCAGTTGGCATTACAAAGTATACAGCAGGAACATCTGGAATAGGATCTCGATCAGAATGCAGAAGCCTCAGGGAGAAACAAAATTAAGTTAGGTTTCCAAATGCTTTTTCTCTTTTAAATGCTGTAGCACAGACTTTTTAAAGGTGTTCTATTTTTTAAAGATTTTTTTCTTATGTTTTATTTAGCTAGATCCCAGCAATATCACTGGGTGGCTAAAAAGTATTGTTATGTTAGTTAAAAATTCTCATAGTATTTGCTAAAAGTTTTACTAAACTCCTGAAGTCAGTTTTAAAAACTGATGATCCCATTTACTACCAACAAAATTCCTACTGCATCTTAAAAGGTTATTTCCAAACTAAAAATCTGCCAATTCCCAATAAATACATCAGACTAATTTAAACTGTGCCAGAAAAAAAATAGTATACTAAACTATTAATGTGTTATTCTCCCTTATTCAAAATACAAACAGTTGAAATTTATTTAGTTCAAATTTCCATTCTTTTACCATGAAAAATCACATTTTTTTTTCTCACGCTAACAATTTGCAGAAAAAAAATTCATGTTATGTTAGAAACGCTTTAAATAATTGTGGCTATAGCCCTTACCACAAATCCAGTATGATGATGAAATTTAAAAAAATTGCATTTAGAGAAAAAATGTTATTAAAACAGCACATTTCATAATCCCTAGAAAATAATACTTACAGAATCATAAAACTTTAGCACTACGTAAATAATTTATTTAACATTAAAGTTTCCTTCTGCACTTGGCAAACTAACAAAAACTAATTTTAGGTTATTGTGAAACCCCTTATTAATGTAATAAATGTGCAAACACCTAGAAATGTTTCATCTCGAGAAAAGGTTTCTAATTTTTAGTAAATCCCAGGTCAAAGATGCTAGGTGCCAAGCTGGCCAATTTATCAGGTATTGAATATCCATATCTATATGGATAGATATTTGAAAGCAAACTAGGTATGGGGGTTGTTGTTTTTTGTTTTGTTTTTTTAATGGGGTTGTTCAGTATCCCCTACTAACTAAAAATCCCACTGACTGCAATTTCACCAGTCCCTTAACCCTAACACCATCATTTGATTTCGGAGAGTAAATTCCATTCAAGATTTGTTTGTGGCCTGATTCACTTCATTGTGAATTTTTTGGAATTGTAATATAATAAAGGGCTTAGTGTGTCTGTCTGTCTGTCTGCAATGCTTTTGGTCAACTGGGCATGTGCTGCCGAGAGGGCAGGCAGCCACTGGCTGTGCAGACCTGGGCAGGGCAAAGGCAGAGGTGGGCGGGGAGGCAAAGGCGGGCAGCGAAGCAGAAGCAGGTGCACACACACCCAACAGCCAGCAGATGGGGGGGAAGGCAAGGTGAAGCCCTGCTGCTCAGTGGAGGTGTGGGGGGGCAGAGGTGGGCACGCATGCATCCAACAGCCGGCAGGAAGGGGGAGGTGGCGGGGATGGATGGAAGTGGGAAGGGAAAGGAGGCAGGGGGAAGCCCTGCTGTTCTGGGGAGGAGGTAGAGGTGGGGGGGAGGGAGCCCCTGCACTGGTGGCTGGAGGAGGAGGTGGTGGCAACGAAGGGTGAGGCAGGGGGCAGTCATGTAAACACTCCTTCATTATTTTAAATCCGTCATTCATGGCAGGCAATTGACTAGTACTGTATAAAAGCCTAGGTTTTTGATAAATACTTTGAGAGATATATAGTGTACTCACAGATGTAAAGTGATGCCCATGTCTCTCAGCTCTTTCACTGACAACAAAGGACAGATTATATCTTGGCCAAATCTGTCATATATTAGAACCTAAAAGACATAAAGGAACATATATTACACATACACGTTCTAAAGCTGTATGTTTAGTATAAAGGGGAAAAACAAGTTTCAGGATGCATTCTGAAAAAAATTAAATATTATATGTAAAAACTGAGCCAAACCTCACATTCTTTCATTCCTGTTATTAGTGTTTACTGTGAGACAATAAAACAAAAAGAAAACAGGAGAATGCAAGAACAACAATCATTTCCTCAGTGCTTCATTTCAGTTAGATAGGAGGTTCTGCCTCCAGAAAAGTCAATTATTATGAAATGTAGAAGCATTAGTGACAATACTGCCTAGAAGATGACAAGTTAAGAACATTTCTGGAAACTGAGTTTTTCTTAAAATGCTATATTAAAAACAAAACAACAACAATCACAGTAGTAATAAAGGTACTTTTTTGCAACTGCCCTAGATTTAGGGCTTTAAATTATTTAGCTCCTTCCCTTCTCTTTCTAATTAGTTTACTTTGAATGGCTGTCAGTGCTTATCTGGTTTTAAGCATTTTTCATCTTCTCTCCTCTCAGATTCTCATGTAACATATCTGTTAGGCTTGCCTAGAGGTTTGGTTAGGCATCGGTTCTTTAAGCAACTAATCTCATAACTGGGTATCTTCTCTATCTGTGATAATGTACATATAATAACAAATCCTTTTTCCGCTCTACAGGAATACAAAAAAAAAATGACAACATAACAAAAAGAGGAAGCACGTTGCTTTAAGGTGACTAAAAGCTACCTTAGTACTTTACAGTTAATTTTTTCCAGGGAAGGGGTTTCATAGCTTTTCTTGCGTTTAATGTCTAAATGCATCATACCATGAGTTAGGCTGTATATCAGAAAAGGGTGAATTATTCAATACAGACTGTCAGTATTAAGATATTTGGTAAAAGTTATCAAGATGTCACACAGCTGTAGCCCAGCTTTAATTTTTTCTTGAGGCAATTAATACACCTTTGATAACTTATTATGACTGATTCTATTCCCTGCTCTCCCCCGTTTAATCTCTCTTCAAAGCTACAGCTCATTTTCAAAATAAAGAAACAAAACTCTTGATATTTAAAAATGGATCAGATCAAAGTAAAGACAGAATGACCATGAACAGCAAATTTTGTAGACACGTGACAAATATTTTCTGAAATTAAAAAAATGTTAGTATAATACAATACTAACGTATGTAAAGAAATCATAAAAATGTTCTTTCAATATGCTCTGACATTTGGCAAAGAGTCCTGAGAATTTTTTAGTTCCCATAGATTAAATCTGATAATTTAACATTGCACATGCTGTAAAGTTGCCTTTTACATTGCAAAACTGTTCTTCTTACCTTCCATACTGGTTCTCCTGTGCTGTTTTTAACAGGAGCAACATTAAAATTTAACATACGCTTCAAAGCCACTGAAAAACAACATAAAATAACTCATTATTACCATCTTAGTTCTCCCCTCCCACCCCTGAAAACTCGAGGGCAAATATTTTGACAAGGACAAAAGATGCTTTTGTGAGTGATTCTGGCATGACGTTTTGCCAAAGGCATAAATACAAGATTATATACTTTTTGTTAATATTGTCCAAATAACCTGCGACAGTCAAATACCAAAGTAACAACATCACAACTGGAAATTGAGTTCAGTGTGGTGTTAGAGAAATAGTCCCCAGGGACTGAATACAGAATCTGTTGCTCTTATTACCAAGACAAACTATAGCCCACTTAGAAATTTGTTATTTAAAAGTAATTACAATATGTGCCAAAATGTTGCACACTACCCAGCAACAACCAGTTTGACCTATCTTTTCCCCCAATCACCTGGCAAACTTCTCTTATAAGGAAAGTTACCCCTCTAGCATTTCTCTTATAGATTCATAGTAGGAAGAACATCAGACCTAAGGGACAAAATGCTCCTTTGTCCAAAGACAGACTACAAGTCCTGAGAAACAAATCTTTGAAGCTGCCATCTTGAAATTAGTACAGGTCTAAAGGCTATAGGGTTGATTAAGGTCTGAATATAAATTTAGGAAATAGATACCTGGCGCAGATGCCATATGCAGTATGTGGCACATATTGGTCTTGCATGCTGCATGCAGCACGTACCAACTCCAGCCCCCGTGCTATATGTAACATGTGCTAGCCCCAGCCTGCCATGTGGTGCACAGGGCTGGTGTGGAATGCATGCCGCATGTGGCACCTGTGCTGAACCCAAACTGGCCCTGGATCCAACTTGCAGGGTCGATCTGGTGCAGGTGCACAGACTGGCCTTGTACACGATGTCCCAGACTAGCCTCGCATGCAATGTGCAGCACCTACCGGCTCCAGTCCCCAAGTCAGATGGATTGTGTGTTGTACATAGAGTGCTCAGCTGGGACTAGCACATGTTGCATGTAGCACACCAGGCTGAGACCCACAGGCAGCCTTGTGGGCTGAATGGTAGGGCTCTGTGTGGGCCACGCATCTTTGACACCAGTGATCTAATGAATCTGACCAAAAGCCTGTTTACATAATTACAGAAACATTTGAAAATATACTTTCTTACTTCCTCCCTTGATGTGGCAATAAATGATGTGGCAATGTAAAGTAAATGTGCACCCCCTTGACTCTAGATAAATCATCATAAACTTTGGTAACAGAAAAAAAATGACAATTACACTGGTATGTTTTAGTACTGCAGCTGCATATGCCACATCACTTGTAAATGACCTAAAGATAACTGCCATGAGGAGTTTTCAACCTAAATTAAGACTCAGCATAGAGAGGAATAGCAAGAAGGCAGAAGTATTGAAGGAGAGAGATCACAATAGCTGAAATCTAGCACTGCTTCTGCCAAGATCGTTTGGCTAAGTCAGTAGCTGTCAGTGTTTTAGACCCAAAGTACCCCTTGGAAAATGCCAGCTCTTAGTTTTCACTTTTTTTTTTACTATAAAAAAAAATAAAAGACTAATTTTCCTATGGTAATGAACTCAGAAAGACCAGTTGTAATGTTTTTGACACTGGCTTCAGACAGGCATTCATTTCTAGCAGTGAAATTTGAGACGTTTCCACCACTAGAAATCATTCTGGGAGAGGGAACAATACAGGCATTCAGCACTGCACAGACTCTTCTCCCCTACTCTAAGCCCCTTCACCAGGTCAGGGATCAGTCTGGGGAAGACATGGGGAGAAGCAGCTGCCCTGCACCTCCACATCCCGGGAGGATTGGAGTAGCATGGCAAAGTTCCCACTGCTTCAGACCTGGAACCCCCAGTCTGGGAAGCCAGCAGGGAGCAGCTGCTCCTGCAGGGTGGCACAAATTAATGGGGCTGTCAGCATGGGATCTAAAAGTGGCCACATAGGGGACAGGAAGGGAGAAGCGTCTCTGTCATGTAATACTTCAAAGATGGAGCCTGCAGCCTATGTGTGGGGATACAGAAGCAGGGCTCTCAAGTGCCAAGGGAGGGGGGGGAGCTTCTACCCCATGAAGCACTTTAAAGCTGGCACCTACAACCCCTGCCCCAGGAGCAGAGGGAACAGCAGGGCAACCCCCGCACTGTTTCCCCAGTGAGGCAGTCCCTGGTCTGGGGAAGAGGTGTGGAACATTGCCATGCTGCTCTCCTTCTTCTCCAAGATCTGTCTGGGAGGGGAGCAGGGCAAAGCCCCCAGCCCCCGGGAGTCCCTGCTGCTATGCTTTCCTCCTGGATCAGACCAGGAGAGGGATATACAAGCATTCATTCCTGAGAGATAGATTCTCTTGCAAGGAAGGTCATCCAAGCTGGTTCTTAGAAGATCTTTCTCCCAGAAAGGACATGTTTGAATGAACACTTGCACGCTTGTCATTTCTAACAGAAAATGGTGATTCTAAAAGAATGGTGATTCTCCCCATAGAAATGTAATGCCTGTACCTGACCACTATGGCTCCTATTTGAAATCTCTGAATTTAACTCATGCATCTCATGTAGACGTCTACCCACCTAGCAGTGCTAATAGTGCATGGCAGCTGATGGCATCCTTAAAAGGACCTCATGGCACCCTGGTTGAGAATTAATGGCTTTAACCTTTCTGTGTATCCCTCTACTGGTTCCTCTCTACCAAATCAAACCCAAGCAGCTTTGTCTTCCCTTTCAAAGCCCTCACAGCATGACCCCAACATACCAAGAAGTTACCTGCTTCTATCAACCATAATATCAGTCTCATTTACTTTTTAGATCATTAACCAACCTCTGTGCATCCCTTATATTTAGGAAGAGCTCCTCGTAAACACATGCACATTTACAGCATTGCCCTGGTTCCAATCTCCCCCTAAAACTCAGCTTTACCACGACACCTACAAAAAAAACCTCAAGCAGTTGCTGATATGTCTACTACTGATCATGCTGACTAATACAGTCTCATGGGCTCCCTGCGCCTCTCTGCACCTGTATTAACGCAGCATGCTTTGCTTTAAGTGTATAAGCTCAGGATTCAAACTGAAAAGGCAACACACTTAACATGGAGCATGCACTTCTCTGGACTGAATCTAAATAATCCAACCTCACCAAAATAAATAGCGCTGATAATGCTATGAGGTTTGGTGGCTCTGACTTCAAGGCTTCTGCTGGCAGCTATGGCATTGATTATTGGCAGAGGTGCACTGATAAAGACTTTTTTTGCTCGATACTGATAGCCGATAATTAACCAGTCAAATTGGTCGATACCGATCCAATAATTGATGTTAACTTCGGGTTGAGTCACGCTGGGCCGGGCCAGGCTGGGCAGCTCAGCTTGCCCCTCCTGCGCCAGCCACGTCTACGGCATTTGGCACCTTTTACAGAGCCCACCGCAGCTTACAGTCCATGCTGTGCCAGTGCTCAGGACATGGTGGCAGCTGCTCTGCGCCAGCATGGCCCGGTCTGGCCTGGGGTGAGGGAATGGGGGATATCCAGGATCACCCTGGCTCGCAGGAGAGAACCCAGGCGTCCCCGGCCGAAGCCAGCAGGCATAATTATTGGAGAACATTACTGGCCACAATGGCCAAAAAAAGCCAAAACCCAATAATATAACTTTCCCTTTATTGGTGCGATCCAATAGGCAACCAATATATCAGTGCACCTCTAATTATTGGAAACTCTGAGAGGAGGAGAGCCAGTGCTGAGGGCTGACTAGGTATCTCTGATAGCCCTGTAGGATGGGAGCGCTGGAAGCCAGCAGCTCCTGTCACTTTCAAGGTTTCTTGTGCAGCTGCTCCCCTGGCACTTCAGCCTGGCAAGAAACAGCAAGTCCCACAAGAAGCCTTAACCAGGTCCGGCCCACGCGAGGAGAACCGGAGCCCGCTTCAAAGGGCCGGGCTCTGGCTCAGGCACTGCCCAGCTCCGCACCTGTCCGCCCCAACCCAGCAAGCGCCCGGTCAGAGGCTGGGGCAAGGCCCTTCCCGGGACCCCGCGCAGGGCGGGCGGATGCCCCCAGGCGGCCCGGGGGCTCCGAGTGTTGCGGAACCAGCGCGGGGACGAGAGGAGCAGACACGGGGGCCCAGCGCCGCGCTTTGGAGCGGGG